GAAAGAATGAGATCGGGGATACAGGCAGTAGAAATTAGTTTCCTATACAGGGTAGCTGGACTCTCCCTTAGAGATAGGGTGAGAAGTTCGGTTATCCGGGAGAGACTCGGAGTAGAACCGCTGCTCTTCCACGTCGAGAGGAGCCAGTTGAGGTGGTTTGGGCATCTGGTAAGGATGCCCCATGGATGCCTCCCTAGGGAGGTGCTTTGGGCATGTCCGACTGGGAGGAGACCCTGGGGAAGATTCGGGACACGCTGGAGAAACTGTCTCTCGGTTGGCCTGGGAATGCCTTGGAATCCTCCCAGAAGAGCTGGAAGAGGCTGTGGAAAGAGATGTCTGGGCTTCCTTGCTCAAGCTGCTGCCTCCGCGACCCGACATCGGAACAAGCGAAAGATAATGGATGGATGCATTGTATTTACATTTTTATGCTTCACAAAATTTAAACATTGTCAAATGCTGATCAATGAAAATGGAAATAAAGCAATCAAATTATTTATTCCATTCCTATTAATCCATTTTCTTTGTTCGAGTTAGTCTTTTCCAGGTTGCAGGGAAGCTGCAGTCACAGAGCGACGCGGGTACGACCTGTACAGGCTGCAGGTCCTTCACAGAGACTCACTCACATCCAGGGACACTTTAATGTGCATCTGTTGGGCTTGAGAAGAGATTGGAATACCTGGAGAAAACCCAAATCCACACAGACAAAGCCCAGACCAGGAAGTGTTACTAGAACCTTCCTCTTGTAAGGCCAAAGCTCCAACCACTGCTCTGATGCACAGGCCCACATTCCTAATAAATGATATACAAACTGAGAAATAAAAGCTCTACAGTATACCTCACCTCAGCTGCAGCAGTGGTAGTAGGGCTGGCAGAATGGGGTCATATTTTCTGCCTTGAGCAGAGAAGCCATAGATCAGAACACGCAAGAAAACTGTCAGAACCAAAACAAAATCAGTCGCTGCTGTGTCTGATGAGTTCTAACAAAGAGCTTTGAAAACAAGGTCACTATCATCAAATGGACTGTACTGATGCAGCTCCTTTATCTCACCCAGATACTTAAAGCTCTTTACTACACATCCTGTGCACTCATTTACCTCCACACACATATTCATACAGCAATCTACTACTAAATACATTCCTACAGCACTTTACTACACACATTCATACAGCAATCTACTACACACATTCATACAGCACTCTACTACACACATTCAGACAGCACTCTACTACACACATTCATACAGCACTCTACTACACACATTCAGACAGCACTCTACTAAACACACATTCA